AGGTTAACTTGTGAACACATAATCGAGCAATATGAGGTGTAGAAACACCACAGATTGCAACGGCCAGCTGGATGAATGGGACCGAGTGCACTACACTGACCTTACTAGAAAATAAAATGAGTGTGAGGTGGGAACAACAAATTTTGATGTGCAGCAACAGAACAGGAGAGCAAAAGGAACTTGAAAGAGTGGGCCATGTACCAAAGTTTATACTACCTGACAACAAAAGCTCAATGTTAATGCGCTGCGCATCAAGCGGCAGAATGAGTAATGCTGTATGCATTACCTAACTGACAACAGAATGGAGCTGGAGATATCCTTTACCCCTTATTTGGAACACAAAAAGCTCGCACATCAGCAGACAAGATCCAACCAAACCTAGTAAATGTGTTTGATGTGAGCCAAATCATTCATCAATAATTCTTATTGGGCTTTACTTACATAGTTGCTCCATTGCTACAAAGAGAGTTCATTATTGAAAATAGTCAACACAACAGATTTTGATGCAAAAAACACAACTAATAGTTATACATGTACAATCTATTATACAGCTGACATAAATACATGCACTGTTGTAAAGAGTTACTTAGGGGAAATCTAGATAGTAAGGTAGGTAGACTTACAGTAATAATCTAGAACCACAATAACACAATTTCACCAACAGTTTTGTTACTGTGCTCGATGAACTTGGGAGTTTTCTTGTTCATAACCATACCCACTTTCCACATCTTCCCACTCCTCAACTCAGTGGTATTGTGGTAGATATGTTCCAAGTATGTATGAAACCATTTCTCAGCAGAGCCCAACCAAAAACCAGTATTGAGGCCCCCACCCATAAACACTGAATTCTTTGGCCACCATGATGATTGAGACATTTGAGGTCCATGTCCAGTGTAGACATTGTAAACCCCTGAAGTGAGATCCAGCTCTTCCCGAGAGAGACAATCATCAACGAAAAAATACCCGTCCATAGTCTGAAATATTTCCTTTGGTTCTTAGGCATCACTTGAAGGTCCTGATAAGACAGCTTCTGGGGAAAGGACATCTATAGCCAGACACCATACAATCCCACCTTGCAGCAAAGCAACAGGTCCACAAGTACTGAGCAGAAGCTTGTTGCAGGCATCCTGATAACAACTATAGTAAATGACATCAGGTTTATAACCTTCCCTTTGATACCCCAGAGTGACACAATGAGGCGAGACAACACTGGGCGGTGTTTCCACTTGCAGAAGAGTTTTAAATGGTATAGCCATTGATACAAGCTGTAAAGCAACATCTTCCAAACTAGGCCTAAATCCTCGCCATATACATTCTATCATAGATGAAGACCTGCTCAGACAAATTTTCCATTTTGGGCTTGTTGCTAAGTCGAGAGAGCTGAGTAAATAGTGGTCTTGCAAATCATCTTTGAAGCAAATGGTGATGATTTGAAAAGGAAAGTGTGTCCTTGAATGTAGTTCAGAGAAGAACCGCTCATGTCCCAGACAGGTGACAGTGCACCTCTAGCCCTTTCATATTGACCAAGAGATAGAAAAGCAGATGTAAAGTAGCAAGCAGAGGAGGACCAGCAGGGGAGCTGTGCATCTGAGCCAATATCTCCCAATATTCCTTTGATGTCTTTCCATTTAATGAGCTCAATTGTGTGACACTCGCTAACTGAGAATATATCTTCCGGTACAAAACCGTAACAAAATTACAGGATATCCTCTGCTGAAGGTACAGTGCACTAAGACACAACCGGACATTCTTGAGCCAAGGACAAGTCAACTCGTAAGGTAGAGGTGATCTGCACGCAAAACTCGGGTGGCATCGGGGCTTGTCCTTTGATTTCCTCGTGATTGCCTTCTCCTGACAACATGTTATCTTGCCCTGCATCCACAACAAAGGTCGTGACATATATCCCAGCAGTGGGAGAAACTGTCGTAATATTTGGGCTGATTTGGAATTGACAACCAACATTGACGGACAATGTCAAATGGCATATGTCTTTGCACCCAGTAAATTGCACCATCATTCTCAACACTCTACCTATAAACACAACACTCCCGTGTCTCTGGCATTGGGAAACTGGCCATCTTCTCCTTGATATTAAGACAAAGACACCGATGGCGACTGGATTCACGAGCGCAAATCACAGTGTTTTCATCATAAAATCTCTCCAATGCTCTCCAGGCCTCTGTCTGCTTCCTTTCTCAACTTGATATTCTGGTGTATCGTTGTAGTCGTATAAGCCAGCGAGCTAGTTGCAGTAGGCGGTGTACATAGACACTATCTTATACTGTGTTTGTTCCAGCCATTCTTGCTTGATCTGCTCCTTATCCACCTTTACTGTGTTCACAGCTCGTGACAAAGGGTAGTACTTCAGGATAGGGGCCATCATAGTTGAGGGCTGTATTTGGCTCTGCCCATATATCCCGTAATAGAACCATATAGGAAGGTTGGCTTGCATTGTACAGGATACCATTTCAATCCAATCATAGGGTTGTGAACCATGTATAAACACCCCGCATTGTTTTGTCAACTTGGAAAAGTCACCAATAATTGAGGATCATAGATTTCTAACCCATTCTGGATGAACTCTGCAAGAGTCTTGCAGTACACAAGCCCAAGTTGGGTGAGGATCTTCTAAACACTTTCCTTTGCTAAACATTGCCAAGACAAAAGAACAAAGGCCAAAGAAAGGAATGCAGGCAAAACGGGAGACCAAAGCAGCCTTGGATGCTTTAGCTTCACTCTGGTGCCCCTTGAGGTATCCGAAGTTTTTAGGGTAGGGGTATGGCCTGCAGTTGAGGGGCCAAAGAATTGGCTGTAATTGCTCGAGAGAATGCATCACGAGAGTGATACCGTCTTTGAGCCTTGCCCATGACACATGTACTTTCTTTTTAAGATAATAGAGGCCGTTAATTTTTTTGACCGGAATTTTGGAGGGTTTTAAGCAACTGATGAGTGGGCCATCAAATTTGATTTCCAGTGGTGTAAAACCAATGTAGTAGTAAGCAACAAAAGCCCAACATGGAACAAGGGTTTCACAAGGGTGCATGCTAGCGTAAAGGACATCATTCAGAGATAGAACATAGGGGAGGAAATTGGCAGTAGGTGATGCATAAATGCAAAAAGTCTCATCCAGATGAATAAAGGAGTGGTCTGTTGACTGCACCATCTGTATGTAGTACAATGGGGGTGATTTTTTGTTTATGGTGATAAAAGACCTTGTGCCGTTTTTGGGAGGGGCTTTTGGGTATTCATTCCCCTTCAGAACGTCTGTGGTGTATAAATGCCACAGATGCAGAGGCTTGATTGATTTGCAGGAGGGCCTTTTGGGTATTTGTTCCTCTCTAGAACGTCTGTGGTGTATAAACACCGCAGAAGCAGAGGATTGATTGATGATGGTGGTCCAGAGTGAAGTAACTTGAAAGCTGGTGGCAGATGAAGATCCACAAATCATTTGTCATATGCAATGACTAAATATGGGAAAGGCCTGTTGTGCAACTGTAACCGTGACATGTCCGAGTCCCCACCACCCAATCATCACCCACTGCATCTCTATCATCCATGGTCACCGTCACTGCCATCACATGATGCAACTGGGGGTTTCTACCTCCCAGTCATACATTCTTTGTGGATCACCACCACTGCCATTAGTTGATGCAACTGGGGGTTTCTACCTCCCAGTTGTACATTCTTTGTGGACAATAAACCTAGGCCCAGGACCAGTTCAATCTCAAATTGGAGAGCGCTACCCATGTCAATTAACCAAGTTATTGTGGGGCAGCTGTTTGTTGCGTGCTAGGTCATCTGGGGTGTTCCTACCTCCCAGATGCTGCTGCTATGGCTCATTTTTGCCACTGTCCAGTTATTTCACATGAGTTGACACCCTTGTTACGTCTACGTGATAGTAGGGGGGCCTTACAACTAACCATAAGGATTTTTCATGGCACCATAGTATATACATCTACGTACAAGTTACAACCTGCATACTAACCTTGAACCATCTGAACTGTTCCCTTGATACCCGCAGAGTCAGTTTGCAATAGCTGGCGCTTTGATTATCCAGCCAATCCTTGTCGTAAAGTACCTTGGGAAGGCTACAAGCTGGATTGCATTTTGTTAGCAGATTCTTGTCGCTCCGCCTTTGTTTGGCCGGTTTGAAACCTCACTGCAAGTAAAGGTTGTCATCTTGCAATCTTGTCTTATCAATAATTCCAAGCTCTTTCTTGATGTTCCTTCGCCAAAACATCACCTTCACCCTATATATTTTTTCCACCATTCCCTCGTCATCCCTCTCCACATCGCTCTCTTCTGAGCTCATACCCTCATCTCCCTGACAATCAATCATGTCTTGCAGCCATTTTCATATTATAGTGTCTAGTGCACCACTATGCTTCTTGGTTTCGATAACCATCTCCAGTGTTTGTTTTTGACGTTTAAATTTCTATGAGATCTCAGTCAACAGTTCCCAAGAGCAAATGACAGGCTTAAATTATTTCACCTTTCCCTTTGTCTTGCTTGGTTCAACCTATCCTCCTGCTGTGTAATTAACCTCTTCTTAACTTCTTGCCATGTTTTCACTTCATCATCCAAATTGACTTGCCGTTGAGCTGCTTTCCAGTATGATTTAACACTATTAAATTTATCAATAATCAGATTTTCTAAATAGCTGTCTAAAGCTTCTGGAAGATGTCATTCATCTTTTGCTTGCTTCAAGTATTCAAGAAGATATTGGAATATCTTCTTGTTCCATTTGGAACCCATGTCTCCCCTCATATGAAAGTGTATGTCTTCTCTGTTAGGCCCAGTAGTGTTTTCATCACCTCTGTTATATGCAAGTACATCGCTTCTGACTGCAGAATTGTGTACAGCAAATTCTTTGTCCTGGCCAACATCAAACTTAGACTTGAACAAGCGCTGCACCAGCATCTATTTTATTGTAAGCTTTATCCTAGGTTGTGTTGTATTCACTGACTGACCATATATTGTATATGTAACTCCTTGCTATTTCAGAATTGTTGGATTCCTGCCGCTTTCTGTTTCTGTTGGTGGCACAGATTTTGTAGGCTCTGTGCACTCTGTGCAAGACAGGCCAGACCAGGGAACACCCGACACATTGCTGCTTCCATCATCCTGATGAACCTTCCTTCATCTTCATTGTTCTCTGGGATTGACTCTCCTGGCCTGGGAGACAATGAAGGCCCTGTATTGGAATCAAGCCCCGGAGGTTCTTGCGACCCTTTTCCCTTTCATTGTGAGTAACAAATATATGATATTTACCCTTTTACTCACAACTTTGTGTGCTACCACCATTGTTCTCACAGATTGTCTATAATGCTTCCTCAATATGCGAGTCATTACACGGCTTTGGGTAGTTGATTGGAAAGAGCGTGCAGTAGATTGCGGATCCATCGCATTAGAACCTTTGGTCACTTCCTGGGTCTAACTACCACTATTGTGCATCTCGGAGGTGTTACTCTGGTCAGCATGCCTTGTCTTATTCCTCTTCTCCTCGCATAAGCATGAATCTCTGAATGTGATAGGCAAGCAAGACAGTACCTCTTTCTGGACAAGCTGCTTGAGCTTCCACGTGATGGCAATTGTAGCCATTTGTTCCGCCTCTATCTGTGCTATGTCGAGCTTCAGGTGTTCTTTGGCCTTTGTTCTCTCTTCATTGATTTTCCTCCTGTGCATCTCCTCTTTTTCTAGCAATGTTTTGTTAAAATGTGCTTTGATAGTCGTTCTCCATTCACTTTGGCCATAGTTGTCCTGGCCTCTATATTTGCTATAACATTATTCATATATTCTGCCATTTCTTCTCTTATTCAAGCCTCCCTTTCTGCATACCTTTGCTCTTGCTCTCGTAGCGCGGAGGTGAAGCCTGCCTCCAACTTAGCTTGGAGGTCTGTGCAATTGGCTTGTATAGTTTGTCAATGGCATCAAAGCTGCACAAATTCAAGAACGACATGCTCATATTCATTGCATTAGGACATACCTTGGCTTCCAAACACCTTTTATCACTGAGTGTAACAACCAAGAGTTTGTTACTCTGGTGCACAACTAGAACCAACTATAGAGATAATGATGAGGGAGTGGTTACCCTTTAGGCTTCAACAAGTTAGTTGTGAGAATACAACAGAAGGACTCGCTGAGGAGTCTCCTTGATCATTGGTTTATATATACTACTACAGGTTTGTTTGTACATATGTACTGTATAGTTGATAGAGGCAGTGGCTGATGATGTCATGGGGCCTAGCCCGTGTGACCAGCTCCACTGCGTGAGAGACTTGTAGCTAAGATAGTAAGAAGGGCAGCACAGCGCAAGAAAGAGGAGTTTGAACAAAAGGGAAAGTGCCACATGGCACAATGTGAGAAAACTACAGTAAAAGTTTAAAGAGGAGAATGAAAATTAAAGGTCCAAAAATGTGTTATTGTAACACAGAATAGCTGCTGCATACTGGGCTGGCTTACAAATCAGAGGTATTATCCTATGGAGTATTGGTATGTCAGAGTATATTCTAACAACATGCAGGAGAGATAGCTTTTATTCCACGCCTCGCATTAGAACATTCATTGGAAGAATTGCCCATCAAGTTATCACATCGACAATTCCCTGTCTATGTTGCCTTTACCATGACCACCAACAAATCTCAAGAGCAATCAGTGACACAGGTTGGGCTGGATTTATATGTTCCAGTGTTTTCACACGGGCAACTTTACATTGCATTGTCTTGCTGCACTTCAGGAGAGAGAATAGAAGTATTATTCCCATATGGTTCAAATGACAGACATACTATCAATGTGGTGTATCCCAAAATTCTGACTGGCTTTATCCATGACTGGCAAGTAGATTTTTCCCCAATCCTCACCCTTTTTACTAAGTTGTTTTGTTATCAGATTATATTATCATCCTTTACCATTTCTGGGGTGGTTTTATTTATATTTTTTATCAATTTATCAATGTAATACTACAGACTTTTTATGTTATAATATATGTTGATGTTTGTAAAGATTCAATAAATCATCTGCTTGAATTCCGTATACTGTGCACAAATTTAGGGCAGGCTTATAATAACATTCAACAACAGAACACCAAGTTAAACATACAGTGACTCCAAAAACTGTTGCAGTATTTGGCCTAAATGCGGTGTGCAAAGTGCACCGCCAACAGGTGCAGAAAGTTTGCTTAGCTTTCATGGGGTCAGTAAATATACTTAGTCTTGGCTACAAAACGGTTCCTCATGTGATTTGGCCCAGCGGCTGTGAATATATGTCCATTTCAAAACAGCAATACCATTACAACAGTTTTTTTCACTTTTAGTATCAAGGGAGATATTTATGGAATATCAGTACTTGGTATAGCTTCCTTTTGCCTTGAGCACTACCTAAATCCTCCTAGGCATGCTTTTAATTAAGTTGCGACACTCTGCAACTGCTATCTTCTCCCACTCCACTTGAATCCTCTCCCACAACTCCTCTATCCCATTTTGGGGGTGTTCATACTCTGTAAGCCTCCTTTTGAGGCAACCCCACCCATGTTTAATAGGATTAAGGTCAGGAGACTGTGCAGGCCACACCATAGTTTTACACTCCTGCTCATCTAGCCACTACTTGAGCTTTTTGCAGATATGCTTGGGGTCATTGCCTTGCTGAAAAATGATGTCAGGAGGATTGAAACCATAATACTACAGGGTGTTCAGCAGCTCATCCTTCAAAATCTGAAGGTAAAGGTCTCCATTTATCCTACCATCAATTCTAGCAGCATACCCAACTCCCTCCCAAGTTATACAGCCCCACATCATCATAGAATCTCCTCCAAACTTGACAGTTCCCTATACCAATCTATCACTGAGCCCCTCACCTGGCTTTTGCCACACCCACTTGCATCCATCTGACCCCAGGTGATTGATTTTGGTCTCATCAGACCATACAACCTTCTTCCAATTCTCCACAGTCCAGTCCTTGTGAGCATAAGCAAAGTCCAACCTTGCCTTATGATGCTTGACAGAGAGAAGAGGGTGTTTCCACTTGACCACAGCCTTCATGCCAGTCTTTTTCAAGTGCTGGTGAACAGTGTTTGGGGAGAAAGGTTGGTTAATGTTTAATGATGTTGGTAAGAGCTTTCGTGATCTGGACAGCATTTTCTGCCTTGTGAGTGGAGATGAGATGCATGGCATGGCAGACATTAGCAGGAGAAAGCTTGGATGGATGACCTCCAACAGATTTTTGGGGCTCAGAACGCTCCTTGGAGTGAAGTCTAGAGATGGTAGAGACATAAACACCAGTGGTAGAGGCAATGAAGTGAGCAATTTGACTTGCATCAAGGAGGTTAAGAATCTGTTTTTTTAAGCAGGAGAGAGGGATTTCATTATGATGGTGGTTGAGAATAAAGAAGCATGTGAACATTTTTAAACTCAGACACAATGTTTACATGTGTATCTTTGCTTGTAGAACAAAATAAAGCCAAATAGTCTATGATATCATTGTAATCTCTGTTTCCAACTCAAAAGTGAAAAAACTGTTGCAATGGTATTGCTGTTTTGAAATAGACATATATTCACAGCTGCTGGGCCAAATCACATGACCCAGGAACCATTTTGTGAGTTACTGTACATCATAGGATCCAAAGACTTAACATACATACATTGCAGACGGTATAAGTTCACTGACTTAACATTTTGATTACTTAATAGTATTATTATTATTTATCATGTAGCAAAACATCACACCAGTGGCAGAGCCATGGGCTGGACCTCGTCTAAAACAAAGGGGACAGTGGTACCATTGGGACATCCAAGTTAGACCATGGGATATGTGGTTAGTAATATTGGGATATGCAAGTTAGATCAACACAGGACATAGAGTTGGTACCATTAGGGTGTACAACTTAGCCTATGGGACATCCAAGTTAGTTAAACCATGGGATGTCTTGTTTATGCCATGGGATATCCTAGCAATACTGTTGGGTTGCACTAAGTTCAGCATGATCATGGGGAACCAAAATAAAGTTGGTGAAGATTTGGCAAACTAACAACAATGAAAATAATAAGTAAATGATGACTGACATTGAATAAAATACAGGGGTACAGATACAAGATGGCCAGTATAAAAAGAGTAGCTCTAAAAGGAAATTAACTCAATGGGATTTATGCATGTAGGCAGAAACAGAGACAAGTTCAGTATTTATGTCCACAACAGATACTTGAGATAAATGTTTTACTTAAAAGAACTGGTACAAAATAAAAGCCCCAACATGAAAGCCAACAGGTAACAAGAATAATGTTGCCAAAGTTATACTCTGTGGTTGCCAGAAATGTATCAAAATGTGTGTAAATAAAAAGCCAAAAAAGGAGTTCATTAAAGAAAGCTTGGCTGTAAAGTATAAGTTGTAGGCATAGCACCAGAGACTGTGGATCTAATCATTCCATAATATAACAAGAACAACCTCAGCAATTCAATGAATACAAAAGGCTGAAATATATCCATTTGCATGTTTTCTTGAATATTCCAGCAGCCTCCAACCTTGGCTCATCAGTATCAAGTAGATCCACCTCCACTATTTTTCTGGATGCCTATTATGGTCTCTGGCACATCCTGCTTTTGTTCTGACCTACTCACCCCCTTTCCATTTATTTTTTATTTAGACCCTATCATGTCCTAGGATGGACTCCCAAATTGTTTCAGGTTCTTTAGTAGGCTTACAGCCTTCACCTAAGCCCTACAAGATGATCCCTCTGTTCCTCACACAAGAACATCCCTTTCATTGAAAATATAATTAGTTTAGCCCTATTTCCCAGCATATTTAGTTTATGTAAAAGCCACAATGTATGTTTCCTTATATGTTAGAATAGTGGCACAAACTATTTTCTGCATTATATATTTTACCTTTTCTGGCTACACTTTTCTTATATTGTTTCTTCCCTTATTGCATACTTTGTTTTCTTTCATATTTTGCACCACCTTTTATATTTTACATTTTTGTACCTTATTACCTATTCTGTCACTTTATTAGACATGCCAATAGGTTACTGTACTTACAGTTTATATTCTCAAGCATAACGTGTAAGAAGGCTGTAGCAATATTCCCAATATAGAACCAAACATAATGTTACAATTGACATGCCAGCACCTACTAACACTTCATTTTTTGTACTTTTTACTTTTACTTTTTCCAAGTCACATGACTGGTCATATGACCATTTACTTGACTTTACATTTTTTGGACTTTTCATAGTCACATGACCAGTCATGTGACACATCACCTGACCAGTGTCTAGGCTCACCATGTGACTGGTCACATGCTAAACATTGGACTTTAAACTTTATTTACAACTGTACAGTACCTCATGTATTTTAGTATATATACAGGAGTAATATATGGGGAAGGACTTAGCAAGTCCTCCTGATGTCTACCAACAACTAACTTGGTCCTACTTTGAGGGGAAATCCCTCCTTCTCTCTTTTGAGTGTTGTTTTTGTTGTGCTCCAGTGCCCCAAGACTGTGCCTTGTTGGTGTCGTCACACATAATGATTTCATTTAGAAACTCTCCATGGATGTGTCTGCTATGTTTTACTGCCACCTATTACATGTTATTGATTTCTACATCTTATAGTGTATTCGGGAAAAGATGTCCACACCTTTTTTTTTTTTCAATTGAGATTATGCTTAGTAATGCAAAATTTGTGAGACATTACTACTTGTGGTATGTACTTGAGAAACCTTAGTTTGTAAATATACTTGAACAGAAACCACTGTACCTGGTCTTCCAAGGACACAAATCTGATCCAAAAAAATTGACAATCTCTCAGAAATGTCTGTTGGAATGAACACATGTTTCTAACAAGCAAAAAGCATGACCTCCATACCTCCCAAATGCGGTTGATTTACCCCATCACTGTGGTGGTACTTGCAGTGTGGTTGATTAAAACCCCAATTAATAAGCAGAATCTCAACTGTGCACACAGAAAAAAAAGAAAAATGGCACAAACATACTTTTCCGAATATGCTGTAATGCCAAGATAGTCATTTATCTGATATAAATTACATTTACAATTAAAGTATAAGCAAATCCTATACTTTATTTGTATTTTAATTACCTTTGTATTTTGTGTATTCTGAAGAGTTTGTTGAACCCCAAACACCTCTATGATTAATGGGATGTCCCACTGAGAATTGGACCATTGGGATATCCTACATGGTCCAATAGAATGTCCTATTAGGCTCTTTAGATGTCCCATGTAGTTGTCCCAAAAGACATGGTAAACTATGCTTCAGGGGGCTACTAGCCCGGTTGGTTTGGAGATTATGATCAAGCTAAGAGCCCCAAAATTTTGGCTGTCTTGAGTGTTCTGACTTATGTTTTGAAAAGACATTCCAGAAGTCGTGGTACCCTGGAGGCACCAGCCCCTTAATCTCTTCCTCAGGCTTCACCTATTCATGGCAATGATGTCAATAGGGCC